TGGAGCAGGATGGAGGGAGATGAAGCAGGATAAGGGGTGTAGAGGAATGTGGAGGAGGATGGAGGAAGGTGGAGGAGGATGAAGGAAGGTGGAGGAGGGTGGAGCAGGATGGAGGGAGATGAAGCAGGATAAGGGGTGTAGAGGAATGTGGAGGAGGATGGAGGAAGGTGGAGGAGGATGAAGGAAGGTGGAGGAGGGTGGAGCAGGATGGAGGGAGATGAAGCAGGATAAGGGGTGTAGAGGAATGTGGAGCAGGGTGGAGGAAGGTGGAGGAGGATGGAGGAAGGTGCAGGGTCCGAGGGCGTCTACCCTTGAGAAGTTAGCGTGGATGCAGAGCTGGCTGAGTGAGTCTCTGATGGACATGCAGACATTCTTCACTGACTCCAGTTTGCAGACCGAGTCGTTCAGGACGCTCTTTATGCTGGTGTTCACCAGGCTCAGGTTGGCCTGCAGACTGCTGGAGCTCTTCTGCAGGACCTCCAGGGTGAGGTTCATGTTCAGCAGAGCGCGCTGGGTCTCCCGCATGTCTGTGCAAAGTCAGTGACATGAGTGTCTGTGCTCACCTCCCCATTCGCCACACTAACCCCAGGTGGGGGGCAAGACAGCCCAGGCGAAGAACATCTCAAACTGATAAAACCTAAAAATAAGCTAAAACTGCTGCGTAAATTCACAGTTAATACTCGAGTGCTCCAGTAAAGCATCCAGACACCATATTTGAATTACATAATAAATTACTATTTTAATTGAGCTCACTAATTAGGAGCTCGGCTGGACCGAAAACAGGCTCTTGTGTCTGCTGGGAAGAGCAGGATTGAGAAACACTCCCAATAGCTGCACGTTCTTGGTGTTTTAAACCAGCTCAGAATGAGAGCAGAGCGGTATGATCACAGTACAGTGCGGTATGATCACAGTACAGTGCGGTAAGATCACAGTACAGTGCGGTATTATCACAGTACATGAAATTTGTGTCTGAAATCCCACCATACTTAAGCAGCAGGGGGTAAACAGACAGAAAACCAGCCTGTTTTATTTTATTGAAACACAAATATCTTTGGTGTTAACAATCTGCTCCGGCTATTGAGTCATTTACTGAATGGTGTGCGATTTTCCTCTCCTTTGCAAGCCTTTATTTTCCTACTTCAATAAGCTCAACAGGGGTTAAATGTAAGAAATGTTCTTTTCAGAATGTCCACGCTTATTTCCTTCGGAATAAATAAACGGTTTGTTTTGTGCGGCCAGTGGAAATAACAGCAGTAGATTTGAATCTAGAAATGAGAAACATGTAGAACATTCTGCTTATTGATAGTAGCAGTAGGAAGAGAGAGAGGGAGAGAAAGAGAACAAAAGAGAGAGAGAGAGAGAGAGAGAGGAAGTAGCAATACAGATCTCCATACCTGACGCCATACTTGACACTCGATCAAGAGCGGGAAGACACTCGCTTGCCAGGTTATCATAGATTTCCCTGCCAAGCAAAGGGGCCACATCTGGCACAGGGGGAAAATCAGTCAGCCACAGACTTACTTAATCTCGGCTCACGGTCTAAGCCGGAGTTTCCCAACCTGGCCCTTGGGGAACCTCAGACAGTCAGAAATGCGGAGTATCTGGGGTCCCTGAAGACCAGGTCGGGAAACACCGGTCTAAGCGACAAGACGGACAGAAACTGGAGTGGGTTCGAGGGGCCTAACGGTTAGGCCGGACGGACAGCGCTTACTGTCCAGGTCTGAGATGACCTTCCCTTTGGTTGTGTTATACTGTCCAATGAGGTAATCGATTTGCTGAAAGAGAATCAACTTTGTGAGTCACAGTGATCTGCTTTCTTCATGCAGGAAACATGGTGACATCATGACAGCAGCATGGTACAGTACAGAACTGTAGCTGAGAGTCCAGAAATGCTCACAAAACAGCCCATAAAAAATACATACCACTGGGGTTTGGTTAACAAGTGTCTGCAGGTCCTTCATGTTGCTGTTGACCAATCTCCACACACCCTTTAGCTGGTCGCTGAGGTTCTGATTGGCTGCGTACGCAATCACGACACCCGCCCTGCCGAATCAATGAATAAAGAACAGGATAGTCATTTTAATCAGCACACAGCTAGCTTAGAAACATTCATTGGTGTCCATAGATAGGACAAAGATGTACGCAGACAGAGACATGTCACATGAGCACACATCACACGGAGATAAGGCAAAAATCATTAAAATACCAAATGTACTGCAGTAACAGCACTGAAACCTGTAGGTGGCAGTGGCTGCAAGCAAACACATTAGCATAGATACCTGCTATCCACTATGCTGAATGGCCACAGAGCATAACAGAAAAGTGCATCTCAAAACAGATCACAACTAGATAACTAGATAACTGTTTGATAGCCCAACGACTCACCAAATGACAGTATTTGGGAATTATATACAGTTGTGAGAAAAAGCATATTGAATCTCTGGAATTATCTGGATTTCTACATGACTCGTTTGTAAAATGTGATTTTACCATAATAATAATAATAATAATAATAATAACATTTTATATGGCCAACATCCCAGTCACCTACACCCACGTGCCCTATGCAGGGTTGCGGGGGGTCCAGAGCCTATCTCAGAAACAATGGGCACAAGGCTGGGAATAATCCAGGATGGGGCACCAACACACCACACACTTATCACACACATGGACAATTCTGATACACCATAGCATGTTTTTCTGGCTGGGGGGTGGGGATGAAACATGAGGAGAGCCAGGGTGGAGACTCGAACCCTGGTCCTTGAGATACAAGACAACAGGATTAACCACTAAACCATAAGATAAAGGTCATCTATGGAAAGAGTATGTGATTCTATAGGATAATGACCTTTTGTCAAAGTATGGTCATCAGATTCAAGTGTTCTGATCAATTCAGGTCTAAGGTTTACTTGACTCAACAAATAGGGAACTTCTTAGTTAGAGGGATTGATGTTAATAAAACACCTTTGACAGATTTGTGTTGAATGTTGCTTTGGCTCTAGATCAAATCATGGAATGTAGTCTTTAATTTACTCATTGATTTACTCTTACTAAAAGCCGTGTTCTTAAATACGTCCTCTATCCAAGACAGATAGATCAATAGACAAATTATGGTGTTTCTACTACCCTGTTGTCATTTCTACTGTCCTGTTTCCTGGTACCTCGATACTCTTCAAGAGTGTCCACCTCCAGGCTCAGACGCAGTATTATGGGATGGACTCTCAGACACACAGTGTGCAGACCGTGGGAAGCCCCTCCTGATGAAACTTGGTTTTTATAAAACGATGATGCAAATCAATTAAATTCATGAGCTTCTTTTCTGGCAGCTCACAGATGCAGACTGTTCGGAAGACGTCCCATGAGCGGCCAAACATCTTAGACTAACGGGTAATTATAACCTCGACGTTCAGCTGTTGGGCGTGAAACTGCGGGGAAGCGTGAGTGAGTCATCTTCTGTCGTGACACAGTGCAGAGGAACATACCAGGGATGGAGGGGCTTGTCCAGGTTCAGACTGGACCAGCTATCCTCACATTGAGCAGGTGGAACATTGGATACCAGCACACTGAAACCTTAAGGTGGAACCGCTATGGATGCCAACACGCTGAAACCTTAAGGTGGAACCACTATGGATGCCAACACGCTGAAACCTTAAGGAGGAACTCTTATGGATACCAGCACACTGAAACCTTAAGGTGGAACCCCTATGGATGCCAACACACTGAAACCTTAAGGAGGAACTCTTATGGATACTAGCACACTGAAACCTTAAGGTGGAACCCCTATGGATGCCAACACGCTGAAACCTTAAGGAGGAACCCTTATGGATACCAGCACACTGAAACCTTAAGGTGGAACCGCTATGGATGCCAACAAGCTGAAACCTTAAGGTGGAACCCCTATGGATGCCAACACACTGAAACCTTAAGGAGGAACTCTTATGGATACCAGCACACTGAAACCTTAAGGAGGAACCCCTATGGATGTCAACACACTGAAACCTTAAGGAGGAACCCTTATGGATACCAGCACACTGAAACCTTAAGGTGGAACCGCTATGGATGCCAACAAGCTGAAACCTTAAGGAGGAACTCTTATGGATACCAGCACACTGAAACCTTAAGGTGGAACCGCTATGGATACCAGCACACTGAAACCTTAAGGTGGAACCCCTATGGATGCCAACACGCTGAAACCTTAAGGAGGAACCCTTATGCATACCAACACGCTGAAACCTTAAGGAGGAATCCCTATGGATACCAGCACACTGAAACCTTAAGGTGGAAGTCCTAATGATACCAGTATACCAAAAAAAATTAGGGTGGAACCCCTATAGAAACCAGCATACAAACAGTTTTAGGTAGAGCCCCTATAGACACCAACAGAATGAAACTTTAAGGTGGCACCTTAATTCTGCTGGCTATAGACATAATGCTTTGTTCCTCATAAGAGCAACAGAAACATTATTAGATTTTAGTATCCCTTTAAAGAGCAGGGCTAGGATTGACCCTGCCCAGAATGCCAGTCCCACGCAGGGCATATATACACACACCCACAACACACATTCACAGCCATAATGTATGGGTAAGTATCCTGACTGCAAAAAGCATCCCACACAACACAGTGAGAACATGCAAGCTCAACTCACAGAGCGGAGGCACGATTTAAATCTCAAAGCCTGCCAGTGCAAGAGAACAGCGAGTTACCATAACTCTTCGCCTCATATATAGAAAAGCTGAAATTTTAGACATAACTGCAAGAGATAAAACAGCGAATGTCTCCAAGTTAAAACACTCAAATATCGATCTTCGTTTCCATGTTGGGGAATTACCGGTGTCCTTAATAAGGCAAATATCAGTATCACAATTTAGCGACTAGATCTAGTGACTTTTTGGACAAACCTTAGCCGACAACAGACTAAAAAATGCAAATGAGAAAACTTCTATTGGAAACGCGCCAGTATTAATATACAGTTTGCGTGAGTACAGAGAGTAGGAGAGAA